GCCCCCATCAACATCTCTGCCCCCCCCTTCCCTTGCAGTCTCAGCAACTGACCTCAGCAGACACCCTCAAGATGAGTGTGATGTGCCTCGAAGGGGAGAGGTGGAGGAGGGTGATCACGCAGGACTTCAAGCCCTTTGACAACCGTGAGTGAGGAATCCGGGGGGGGGGTACCTCCTTCCTTGTCTGTCTCTCTGGGATCACACTGTTACAGTCTCTCCATCAACTTCCACACCCACATCTGACAAGTTCACTGCCCGCTGCCCGAGGATGAAGTCCCAGCTCCTTACCCTGACATTCAAGGCCGCTTGGGAGTTCACCTGGCTCACCTCTCCAGCATCCTCCTCTTGCGGCCTATATTCCTGCCACACCAAAGGCCGACTCTCTGAACTCAGCTGTCCATCCTTGCCTCTGAGCCCTTTCGCATGCTGGTCACACAGTCTGGAAGGCTCTTCCCACCTGGAAAATTTCCATTCACCCTTCAAGGCTCAGTGAAGAGTCACCTCCTCCAGGAAGCCTTCCCAGACTCTCCTAGCCCTTTGCACTTCCCCTTTCAGGGTGTTTATGTTCTGGGTCATCACTGCTTGGTTATGGGTCTGTCTCCCTCACTGGGCGGTGAGCTCCGTGAGGACAGAGCTTCTGCCATCCCTGTCTCCATCCTGAGTACTCAGCACCAGGTCTAATCTGGGCGGTGCTCTGGGAAGGTTTGTTGAATAACTAAGTGCCTGCCCTCCCCCCCCCAGCCCTTCCTGCCTCCCTCTAAACCTTGGAGGCCATCTCTAGGGAAGAGGTGAGGCAGAGGGTGAGACCCAGGCAGTGTTCTAAATGCAGCCCTGCCTTGATTGAGTGTGATCTGACTGGCCGATCATTTAACATGTCTGAACTCAGTTCCCTCATCTGTGAAATGGGCATAATCAGTTACCTGCTGCACATGGTTTTTGTAAGGAGCCTATAAGCCAAGACTCAGAAACTGCTTAGCACATGCTCAGTAAGCATTCACTTATTGTTGCTCATGGAGTTCTATAAAGTCTCAGAATTATAAAACTTAGATCAACTTAACTTCAGAATCATAAAATCTTATAATCATATAAGATTAATGAGATTAAATTAAATGAATGAGATGATCCATTTAAAACGTAGATCATTTCTGAGTCCAGAGAAAGGCTGCCCTGATTCACCCATTCAGCAGATATTTAATTAAGCGCCTATTACGTGCCAATTAAAGTTCCAGGCACCAAGGACACGTGAGAGAACAAAGTCCCTGCCCTCAGCGAGCTCAGTCTGGTGAGGGAGATGGAAAATAAATAAAGAACCCAAAATAGGGATTTTCCATGTCAGGTGGTCATAGCGCTAGGAAGGAAAATGAAGCCAGCGAGGGCACAGAGGGGCGAGGCGGGTGGCCGGGGAAGGCATCTCTGAATGGGTGATATTTGAGTGGTGACCTGCGGATTTCTGGGGGAAGGGCACGCCGGGAGGGAGGAACAGCAGCTGCAAAGGTGGAGGTGGGAGCACGGCTAGGCTTGATCGTCTCGGCGTCATGACCCAGCATCCCCAAAACTTACTCTCCCCTCCTTCTCCCCCTCCAGTTCGCCTGATGGCCCCTGACTCCCTCCAAGTCACCCACATAGGGACCCACAGATGCAACTTAACCTGGAGCGTCCCCCAGGCCTCCCACTACCTTGAAAGATACCTGGAGTTTGAGGCCCGGACGAGGTCCCCAGGCGGCAGCTGGGAGGTGAGTGCAGGGCCAGCCTGCCCTGCCGATTCCTCCTTCCCGCTCACCCCGTCCATCCGTCCATCCTTCATCTCGGCAAAGGCAGGGCAGCCCCAGGCAGCCCTGGGCCTGTCTGCACTGCCTGCTGTTGCCCCTCCCCCGCTCCGCATGACCCCTAACAACCCGGGGTTCCAGCTGGTGGCAGACTGCAGGCAGGTACTAGGGCAAGGTCTGCATAACCGAGAGACAGGCGGCTTCCCTCTGTGAGGTTTCCGAGGCCCTGGACGCCGCCTCTCCACTGCTCAAATCCAGCGGGCCCAGGCTCACAGCAGGCTGTCCTTACTCACGCACTCATTCCTTCGCTCACTCAGCCACTCAGCAAACATCCCCTGAGGACCTGCTATGTGCTGGATGCTGGGGAGACAGTGGAGGGCCAGGCTGGCAAGCTTCCTGCTCTCAGGAAACTCACGTGTATGTGCGGGGCAGGGGGATGGAGAGGCAGGCAGTTGGCAAACAGAAACAGTAGACCGTAGGATACTGATAAAAGTTATCAAGAAAATGAAATGCGGTAACACTTCTAAGAGGGACTGGGACAGGCTACTTCCTTGGGCAGGTGACCAGGGAAGGCTGCTCTGAGATCTGAGGGTCAAGGGGGAGCTGACTCTGCTCAGATCTGCGGAGGGTTTTCCAGAGGAAACAGCCACTGCAAAGGCGAAACAT